CATTGTGGGAAAATTCTACTACCAGTCCTTCATCACCTTACACGAAATAGGGTGAATACATCTCATAAGAATTACTTCCATGTTTCTGAGTACAACTAAATCGTCATGTTTTATGCATCACAATAGCTATATTAGTTACAATAATCCTTAATGGGGTACCTTGTAAATTTCATATGTTTGGGAATCCAGCAGCTTGTTGGAGAAATGAGTTTAAGTTTACACCTTTCCAGTTCTCCGCTGTCTACACACTGTTGCAGAAAATATTTAAGTCTATCCTTAGGTCTTGTGTCGGATCCATAATTATAATTTTATGTGCTGTCTCATCGTCTAATGCTTGAAATATTTTCTCTAAATAATCTGGACTCGATTAGAAGACTCTCTCGGGAAAAAGGTTGAATGAAATTCGATGGTAGCAAGCCATATTAATATCCTTGTAGAAAAAACTCAACTATTGGTCCTCAAAGCAAATAAACTGATCTAGAGCGAATAAGCTGATGGGTTATAAAAATATTCATAACGAAAATATTTTCAACATATAAATCCTATCTGTAAGGTTTCCATGCTTCTGGTGTTGGTTGGACGTTGTTTCGCAACTTGGTCGGAACGTCAATGAGATTTTGTGGGACGTATCTAGTATGCAAACATGCTTTCTCTTTCTCAATGCTTCTCTTTCTTTTCATTACTCATCATTCTCAAACCAGATTAATTTTCAAGATAATAATAAGTTGCTGATAAGCTGATTTGAGGGCTTAAAATGTAGTGTTTTGTAATGTTGTAATGGCTTTCGTATTAATTTTCAATGAGGCAAAGCGATATAAGCGGTTCTACCATTGGAGATTTTGTGCTATATTGTTTACACCAGGCAAATAAATGGGGAAATAGAATGGGTTCGCTTACGTGCAATCGACGACTGTATCGAGGGCCGAGTGGCATTGGTGGTGGATTAATAGAAGACAAATGCGCCTCATTGTGATCCAAAGAGAAAGATTTGGGAGCCCCGGCCAAATATGTAGATTGCGAGGTGGCGGAGATTTGATGCGCGCCTGGTGAAGCAAGAGACCTTGTGACGCAAAGATTTGGACTGTTCGGATATGTGGAGGGATTTGATACAGTTGTGGCAGGAGGTGCTGGTCCCGAAACAGAACTGGGAGCATTAGAACTCTGAAAAATTGATGAAGCTGCCGCCTATGGGAAAGGATGAAATAAATCATAGATGAGTCATGGAAATATAATATTTCTACTTCCAATTGTCTCTTTAATTTGCGGAATTCAGATGAAAAACATTTTAGATGTTAGCTATTCATAAATAGACATTGAACAAGAAAAATAAAGAATATAGCTAAGACCTTTTTCATTATATATCGGAGAAATCAGTCAGCGGGGAGAAAATGTAAAGGATGAAATAAACGGTATCAAATATGTCTAAAAACTTATTTCTTCAAAGTGGAGATATATTATAAATTAAATTGTAGTCTAAGGTATGAAGATCAAGATGGTGTGGTCTTTAGTGTGGTCGCAGTTTCCTTTAGTTGTAGAGAAGTTGTTTGACGTTGTTTTCGCAACTTGGTCATATTGGTAGGAAGAGCTAGAGCAACGCACCTTGTCCGGAGTCCATTGTATGCATAATAATTTACGAAATCGGACCTTGGATGTGGTACATTCCAAGACGTTTCACCAGCATCGCAGTCGGTATCGTCAGTGAGTTTTGCCATTCGTAGCACCATATTACAACTCATCAAAAAGACAAGTGAAGTCGATCCTTTGACCAAATGTGTGCTAAGCAGTTATGGTATCTTCCCTTCTACACTGGCCTATTCACATTTC